AATAATACTGTTCTTTGAGACAGCCATATAGGGAAGATCACCTAATCATCATGGCTTGTTGACTCTCTGGTAACTAAAACCTCTAACTTTGGATGGAATTTAGAGGGAACTGCTTTCTATATTGAGTTCGTCTTCTGAACAAAGAACAGTACTGTAGATGTCAGTATTTGTGTATCATTTGGTCTTTTAAATTGCATGCTATAATATGCAGGTCTTGCATATGTATTGATAAATTTATCCCTCCATGTTTCATATTTGTTGATGCTGCTGAAAATTTGTTTTCCACTTGTTCACTGCATGCATAGAAATACAGTTGATTTTTATATATTGACCTTGTATCCTGTAACCTTGATAGAACTCATGTACTAGTTCTAATGGGGTTTTTTTTTTTTTTTTTTGGTAGATTACTTAGGATTTTCCACATATACAATTAGATGGTCTGCAGAGAAAACTCATTTCACTTCTTCATTTCCCATCTGAATTGAATCCAGATTCAATCCAATCTGAATACCTTTTATTTTCTTCTAGCTTTTTTTTTGTACTAACAAGAACTTCCAGTACAACACTGAATAGATAATGTGAGAGTGAACATTATTGTTTTGCTCCTAATTATAAGGTTGCCTTTCCCCATGTAAGAATTATGTTAGTTGTAGGTTTTTCGTGGAAGTCCATTGTCAGAATGAAGTTTTTTTCTATTTCTTGTTTAATAAGTGTTCTTATCATAAAGCATGTTATATTTTAATAAGTACTTTTTGTATATCTTTTGAGGTGATCTTATGATTTATGTCTTTTATTAATAAGGTGAATTGTATCAGTTGGTTTTTGAATGTTTAGCTTCATAGGATGAAGCCTACTTAGTCATGATGTATTATCATTTTTAAGGATTTTGTGTCTGTGCTGATGAGGAACGTTTCTTGTATTTTTCTTTGTTTGTAATGCCTTTGACTGATAATATCATTAAGAAAATGAATTGGGAAAGATTCCCTTCTCTTCTGCTTCCTGAAAGAGTTTGTGTAGAGTTGGTATTATTCCTTAACTGCTTGATAGAATTCACCAGTGATGCCATCTGGGCCTTCAGTTATATTTTGGGAAGATTTGAAATTATAAATTAAATTTCTTTAATTGGTATAGAAGCGTCCACATCTTCTTTGTAACTTGTATCTTTTAAGACACTTGTCCATTTCTTCTAAGTTGTTGATTTTATTGGCATAATGTTAGCTCATAGTGTTCTTCTATCATTCTTTTTGTGTGTCTGGGTCCAGCCTGATGACCCTTTATTCCTTCTGATACTAGTAATTTGTATTTTCTTTTAGCGATAGGATTAGTTTTATTGACTGTTTCAGATAATCAGCTTTTGATTGTGATGGTTGTCTCAGTTGATTGTTTTGTCATCACTGGTTTCCTCATTTATCATTATTTTTTCATGAGTCAGAATACAGAGTCCTGAAACGGACCCCTGCATAGATGATCAACTGATATTTGAGAAGGTGCAAAAGTAATTCAAGGTGGAAAGAAATTACAATAATAACTAGATATCAGTATTGAAAAAGGTGAATTTAACCCCTTATCCCACAGTGAGCAAAAAAGGAGAAAAATGACTTTAAATGAATCACAGATTTACGATCCAAAACTGTAAAAATTTCTTGAAGGAAAAATAGGAGAATATCTTTGTGACCTTAGACTAGTCAGAGATTCTCAGATAGGATACACAAAAGTGTGAACAAGAGGTGTCTGGGTGGCTCAGTCAGTTAAGGGTCCACCAACTTCAGCCCAGGTCCTGATCTCACGGTTTGTGAGTTCAAGCCCTGCCATGGGCTCTGTGCTGACAGCTCAGAGCCTAGAGTCTACTTTTGATTCTGTGTCTCCCTTTCTCTCTGCCCCTCCTCCACTTGCACTCTTTCTCTCTGTCTCTGTCTCTCTCAAAAGTAAATGAACGTTAAAAAAATTTTTTCAAAAAGCGTAAACAAGCACAACAACAAAACCCCTGATAAATTGGGGTTTTTCAAAATGTGAACTTCAAAGCAAGCTACAATTTGGGAGAAAGTATTTGCAAAACTTACTCTCTGAGAACAACTTGTATCTAGGATACACAAACAACTCTTACAACGTTATGACAAGACAAACAGTACAATTAAAAAAAGTGAGTAAAATATTCAAATAGGCGCTTCGCAGAAAGATGTATGAGTAAGCAGTAACACATGAGACAGTGTTCAAAACCGTTAGTCACCAGTGAAATTCAAATTAAATCACAGTGGGCTAACACCTCACAGCCACTAGCATGGCTAAAATATAACAGAGTGGCCATGGTACGTGTGGGATGGGCACTCGCACAACTGGAATTCTCTTAGGTTGTTGGTGGAAATAGAAAATGTCACAACCCCTTTGGAAACAGTGTATTCATGTCTCATCATGTGAGAATTACACTTTCCATCTGAAGCAGTAATCCTCCTCCTAAAAATTTACTCAAGTGAAATGGAAACATATGTCCACACAAAGGCTTGTACAGGAATGTTCATAAAAGCTTTATTCACAATATTCCCAAACTGGAAGGTATTCATAGTCCATCAAGAGGTGACTATATTCATATATTGTGATGGTCTACTCAGCAATAAAAAGTAATGAACTACCAATGCGCGCAGCAACATAAAAACATGATGTTGAGTGAAAGAATTCAGACCCAATACTATATGATCCATACTATATGATGTTGTTCATTTGAAATTCTAGAAAAAAATCACATTTAAGGTAGGCTCCCAGAAGCAGGGAAGTGGTGGTTTGGAGACAGGGAAGGGCAGAATAACAGGCAGGGGGCACGAGAGAACTTCTTGGAGCTCCAGAAATACTTCTCGATTGTGGTGCTGCTTGTGTGTGTTGTTAACAATTTTTAAACTGGACCCTTTAATGGGTGCGTTTTATTATAGGGAGATTATACTTCAACAAAGGAAGTTTCTTTTTTAGGGCTTATCAAATCTGGCTGTATTTCAGAATCACCTGCTAAGCTCTTTTAAAATGCACATTCTTCTAGCTCCTGTCTTAGCCCAGGAATCAGACTCCATCATGAGGCCTGCTCATTTGAGGTTTTTAAAAGTTTTAGAGGTGATTCTGATTCTCAGTGGGTCTTTAGAAAGAAACTGTTTCCTTTGCATGACTCTTTATTCTTAAGGTTCCCAAGACCTAAGAAGGTGAAATTGTATATATAAAATGTATTTCTGGGTTTTTTTCCATATTATTCACATCAGCACTTTTATTAAAGGCTGTAAAGAGACCTGAAGTCTATTTTCTTATTTTGAAAGTTTTCTGTTTTTAATAGCTCATGCTTACATTGTTATAGTAGGAAATACATGCAAAAAAGAAAAAATTGCCATTATAGTGCAGTTTGAGTATATGAAATCAGAAGGTGAAATTCTTGTGTAATCCTCCTATTTTTAACCCTAACTACTAATGATTTGATGCATATTCTTCTAGATATCTTCCTTTGCTTCTAGGAAATGGACACATATCTAGTATTAAGTATTTTCAAATATTCATTTTTATCTTTAAAAGTTTTTAAGGTTTATTTTTGAGAGAAAGTGATTGATTGTGTGGAGGAGGGGCAGAGAGAAAAGGAGACACAGACTCCGAAGCAGGCTGTCGGCACAGAGCCTGACACAGAGCTTGAACTCACGGACTGTAAGATCATGACCTGAGCTGAAGTCAGATGCTTAACCAGTGGAGCCATCTGGGTGCCCCTTTTCATTTTTATTTAAATAGTATGCCCTGTGGCAGCCATTACACAGGGTCCTGATTACAATGAGTCAATAAACATCTGCCATTGTAACCTCCTGTTCTGTGGGAGGGTGGATATTGACTAAAAAGTGACCCAACATATATATGTGAACTGTAGCAAGTGTTACAGAAGACAGTTGTAGAATGAGATTGCACAGTAGAAATGATAACCTCTTCAAAGCCATGCTTTGAAAAGTTTTCTTTTTCAAAACCATTCAGTACTGCTTAGATAGTATGATGAGTACTCATTTGGAGAAAACATCATACACATGATCATCCTTTTATAATTAAATACTGTTTTTGCCTCTTATTGTTACAGTTTTTGTATTTTGTAAAGCTATTTATTTTGAAGGAGAGAGAGCAAGTGAGCATGAGCAGGGGAGGGGCAGAGAGAGAGGGAGAGAAGAAGAGAGAATCTCAAGCAGGCACTGCTCTGAGCACAGAGCTAGACACGGGGCTCAATCTCCTAAGCCATGATCTCATGACCTGAACCAAAATCCAGCGTCAGATGCTTAACTTACCGAGCCACCTAGGTGCCCCTATATTATTTTAAAATAGCAAGAAATCTTCATTATTTAACTTCAGTGACAAAAGTTGAAAAAAAAATCACTCAGCAAGTATTTATAAGTACCTTCCTGAGTCTTCATTTCTAATTGTCACCCAGTTACGTGCTATACAGCGTACGTTACTAAACAACAGTAGCAATTTGGGAATGTTGGTTTGTTCAAAGGAGCAGATATTTGGTGGTGGCAGAGGGGTTGTTAATGTTGATGATGTCAAACACAGGTGCTCTAAAAGGTAATTTAAAAATTACACAGAATCCTAATTGCACTTAATGGAGACTATATAGAATGGATGTTTTGTGCTCATATAAGTTCAGGAAGTGCAGGGTTCAATGAAGCTAAACATTTTTATCTCTAGGGTTTCTCTGAACCTTTATCTTATTTCCTGGGTCTTTAGGATAGAGCTACAATACACACTGACTCTTTATTTGACCACGGAACTTTCTAAGGAGGGAAGTGAATGCCCGGTAGAATCTTTCAAAGATGTACAGTAATTTTAATGTTAAAAACATTGTTTAACTGGACATGATTTGTTGCTTATAAGTACTAGATATTTTTATTTATATACTGAACTTTGGGAATCAATTTGCATGTAACAAAAGAATCATTTCTTCATTCTTGCATCCTTAACTGGGAATGGAAAGTGAAATTGATGTTTCTCTTACATTTCAGAACAAAGTAGAAGAGATGACTTAGAAGCTTTAGGTCATATGTTCATGTATTTTCTGAGGGGCAGTCTTCCTTGGCAAGGTTTAAAGGTAATTGTTTTTGTGTTTCCTTTTGAATTTACCACATTGTAATTATGGTAAGATTCTGTCTTGCAAGTGGTTAAGTTTGAAATTACCCCCTTGTCAAGAGTTTTTTTTTCCCTTTGTGTTTTAGGCTGACACATTAAAAGAGAGGTATCAGAAAATTGGAGATACAAAACGAGCCACACCAATAGAAGTGCTATGTGAAAATTTTCCAGGTAATGAATAATGCCACACTGATACTTGGGTTTCTACACAGAAAACCAGAGCTGTTAATGTTATTGCTCGTGTTTATAAACACTTTTTTTTCCTACTTAAATGAGCTCAAAGTAGGATTTAAAAGATGTCACCATTTGATGCATAGACCACAGGGGCAGTTGGTAAATTTGGTTTGTTAAGATGGTATTAATAATAGAAGAAAGTCCCATCTTGACCAATATCAGTTCAAATATCACTGACATGCTTTTAGTAAGTTAAAATATTTGCTGAGAAATGCCAACTGTGAAGTTGTGGTGTCCACTGCTAGTCACTTGAGTCTCCTTGTCATGCTCAGAGGAGCAGTGTGATGTATGATTTAGTTTTCAGAGTACATTAAATTCTCACCAACCTTATGCTAATGTTACATGGTAGGGGGGAAGGTATGAAAATGTAGTTTTTTTGACACTTTTGATTAAACCAACCAGAATTTACTTGAGATTCCTAAATCAATTAAGGAATAAGAATAACGTGTTACTAATGAATTAAGCAAAAAGTGAACCAAGCATGAAGATAGAAGACTGCGTTCACAGCTCACTTCCATATTCACAGGCCCTCCTCTACAAAGCTGGCCTTCTGGTGGTAGTAGTAGCAGCTGCATAATCTCAGGTAGCCCTTCCTCAAGCTTGCTTATATCGTTCTTTGACAGCAAACTGTAATTTCGTGTTTTTCTCTTTTGCTGTAACATCTAGAACTAGAATGTTAAAAGCAAAGTACTGGTTGGCCCTAGCAGTATAGCAGGGAGCAGATTGGCTGTGTGTTACTAGGAATTTCTGTACAAGCTTCTACAGGAAAAAATGGGGTGTCAAAGTAAATTAACCAGGTGTAATTAGTTAGAAGGTGGAACGGTGGGAGTCACCCTGTGAGGAAGGTCCTTGCTGGGTGCTACTCTCACCGCCCACTGAGCTGGGTGTGATCCTGTTCTTACTGAGTCTGCACTGGATCAGAAAAGCACCTGAGGGTAACCTTCCGTATCTTACAAACCACAGTGAATTTCTGTGTCCTGATGGTGAAACCCTGTTTTACTGATTGCTCACCATTTCACCTCTTCACTTTTATGGCCTAAAAATACATATCTCTAAAACATTTGTGAATTGCAGTGGCACAGAAAGATTTCTACATTACCCAAATAATTGTTAGATGACCAGAAATCCAAAGAAGAATTAAACTGTGTTGCCATGTTATATTTCTCAGATCTCTTAGCTGGGTCAGTTGGTTAGGATTCTGCACATAGCCCAAGTTCAGAATTTGAATCCTCTCTGGATGTTAGTGTATGTGACTGAAAAAAATCCATCAAGGTAGTACAGATACTTTCATATATAAACCAATTCCTACCAGTATTGTATTTATTTTTTTTTAGCTTACTTAATATAATTGAACAGTATGACTGAAATGCCCAAGGTTTTCTTTACTTTAAATCCATTAATCCAGTTGACAAATGTTCAGTTCTCAGAACGTACATTTTCCCGTAATGTTTTTCTCCTACCAGCATTTAAAATAAATTTGCCGAGTAATATGCTTGTGTTTAAATAACAATGCGTTATTGCTAATTCAACCTTTAGTACAATCCAAAGTTTCTCTTCAGAATAACGAAACTGTTAGCCCTTCCTGATGAAAGGAAGCATATGAATTCGTTAAATGAAACTTCTCATTTTTCTTTTGACCCTGTTTTTCTTCCCTTCTCTTCTCTTTTTAACTTCATTTTGATTAAATTCACAAAATTTTAAATTGCATTAGAATGTTGTTACTGTTTCATGTTTTTGTAACAGTGTGCTTTAAGATATTTTATCGTCAGTAAGTATGTAGAAAAGTGTGATCAGAATAATTTTTGTTCCTTTCCAGAAGAAATGGCAACATATCTTCGTTATGTAAGAAGACTAGATTTTTTTGAAAAACCAGATTATGACTACCTAAGAAAACTTTTTACTGACTTATTTGATCGAAAAGGATATATGTTTGATTATGAATATGACTGGATTGGTAAACAGTTGGTGAGTACTTTATGTTATATAGTGAAAGATTATCTGTAGTGCTCCCTTTTCCACAGGACAGCTTCTTCAGTGAGTGAGTACAAATACTTTTTTTAAAGGATTCATTTTAATGGACTTTTTAAGAAGCACCATACTAACATTATTCTTTGAATTTTACAAAAATCCGCCATTAGGACTCCTTGCTATTTATTTATTTATTATTTTTTTTCAAAGTTTATTTATTTTTTGAGAGAGAGATAGAGACCATGAGCCAGGGAGGGGCAGAGAGAGGAGAGAGAGAATCCCAGGCAGGCTCTGGGCTGTCAGTGCAGAGCTCAGTGAGGGGCTCGAACCCACAAACCATAGAATGACCATCTGAGCCAAAACCGAGAGCCAGACACTTGACCGACAGAGCTCATACAAGAGCCCATGGACTCCTTGCTTTTTAAAGTAATGAGTTATTTTGCACTTTTCGTTCCTGATTTAGTTCTTTAAATTTTTTAATGCTTATTTATTTTTGAGAGAGAGGGAGAGAGAGGGAGAGAGTGAGTAGGCAAGCAGGGGAGAGGCAGAGAGAGAGAGGGAGACAGAATCTGAAGGAGGCTCCAGGCTCCAAGCTGTCAGCACAGAGCCTGATGTGGGGCTTGAACTCACAAACTGCAAGATCATGACTTGAGCTGAAGTCAGACGCTTGACTGACTGAGCCACTCAGGCACCCTGTCATTCCTGATTTAGTTCTTAATATGAAGTATAATATTTTTTTGCATAATGTCCCATTACTGTAAAAGATGTTAGTTGTACATTTTGTTTATTTCAGCCATTTCTCAAAACATTTGTAATTTAAAATTGTAAGTTTTATACTAGCAGTTTTAGGCTATGTCTTGAATAGATACTTACAAGTTGAAGCATGTTTTGTGTTTTTAAAATTGTTCTAGGTTTTTTTAACTTAAGAAAATTTGTCTTGATTATAACTGAGATTGGTGATCACTTGAAGGGACTTGTCATTAAATTATTTTATTTTATTTCTTTTTCTTTTTTATTTAATTTTTTTTTTTGAGAGTGCACGAGTGGGAGAAAGGGACAGAGGAAGGGGGAGAGAGAGCGAATCTCAAGCAGGCTCCATGCTCAGTGTGGAGCCTGAGGCCGGGCTCAATCCCACGACCCTGGGACCATGACCTGGGCCAAAATCCAGAGTTGACCACTCAACCAAATGAGGCACTCAGTTGCCCCTAAATTCTTTCTGTGAGGAAACCACTTTTAAAATACTTTTTCTCACCAGTTTCTTTTTAAAATAAGTATGAGTGTCTTACAAGATTTTCCTTAATTGTGGCTTACTGTTAGTGAATTTTTGTCCATATTTGGAACTGCCAAAACTCTTAGATTCATGTGTTTTTGAACAATTGACTTATCTGAGTGTTTAGTCTGTATTTTTCTTTAATACAAAGAAATTTGACTATATGTGGCATTTATGATATCAGTCTGAATAAACTGTGCTTAAAGTATTTCTGTTAAATTTGGAAATATGTATGAAAAATAAAAGTTTTTATAAGTCTCTCCTGAGTCAGAATATTGACAGTAAGCTGTTTTTGAGCTTATTAAAAAAAAACATTTCCTCAATTTTCCTAAAATAATTTATTCGATTTATACATTGGCTTTGCAACTGAGAGACATCAACCAATGTGCTTTCATTTCTTTAGCTATAAGAAAGTAGACCAAAAGTAATGACAGCATCGGAGAGTCTTTTACTGATATAAAAAAGTAAATACTTGATAAAATATATAAATATTTTGAAAACACTCTAAAAAGTAGCTAAGTCTCTCTTGTGTTAACTTATTTTTAATGACACAGTTCACGGATGGTATCTTTTCTTAAGGCGTTAAGCGTCTTTTAGTTTTTCCCTGATTGCATTCAGCAGCTAAGTGATTCCGAGTAAGACTTTTGCAGGTGAAGGTATTGATGCTCGTTGTTGTCTTGTAGCCAACTCCGGTGGGCGCAGTCCCACAGGATCCCGCTCTGTCGTCAAACAGAGAAGCACATCCACACCGGGACAAGATGCAGCCATCCAAAAATCAGGTTTGCTGCCCTTTCCCATCGGACATGTCTTCATTTCCTTCTGTACTTCTTCTGATCATTTAAATATATTTCGTGGTTTCCCATGCCCGGCTGATAGCTTCTGGCTGTGTGTGTGTGCGCATGTGCGCGTGCACCATCTACACAGTGGAGACAGATACTGAAGGATTGCAATTCTTGCTTTTTTCTTCAATAGACAAAAAACAGGTTATGTACACACACATAGTAAGGATTGAAAATACATAGATTTGCAACAAATAAACCATTTCCCCCTGATGTTCACTTTTCCCTGGTTTAAGAATCCCATGAAAATGGGTAGTCATAAATTTCGAATTAGTGGTATAAATTAGTATAAACTTTGAGAATATTTGATATTCTATTAGGATGGAAGTATTTGGATATGCTGTTGGAATCAACTATAATAGCAGTTGGTATTTCTAACTGTAGTCTGATTTAGTGGAATAAATTCTTCGTGGAAGTTCTGCTATTTGAAAGCTACTGTTGTACATGTTGCAGAAATGCACAAGTAAGGAAAACAGTGTGACCCATGAGAAATTTAAAAAAAATTTTTTAACGTTTTTGTTTATCATTGAGAGGCAGAGAGAGAGACAGAGCATGAGCAGGGGAGTGGCAGAGAGAGGGGGAGACACAAAATCCAAAAGAGGCTCCAGGCTCTGAGCTGTTAGCACAGAGCCCAGCGTGGGGCTCAAACTCACAAATCGTGAGATCATGACCTGAGCCGAAGTTGGACGCTTCACTGACTGAGCCAGCCAGGCGCCCCAGAAATTATTTTATAGTGAGTGGTTAAGAGCTCACTCAGTCTCTGGAATTGGGTATGACTTGATCCTGAAGAAATGACTCTATGTTTCCAACCCTCAGTTCTCTCATCTGTGAAACAGAAATAATGCCTGTTAATTCCTAGCATAATAAGAAGCATTCAGTAAATCTCAACTCTCATGGCTGATGTTACTGTTACCATGATTATTATAATAAGCTCATAAATAACTACATTGCCAAACCATGTCAGCTCTATCACATGAAACGGATTAATATAGTGCTATGGAGGATGACTGACTATGTGGCATCTATAGCAATTTTATGGAGAAGGTGGTTTTTGAGATGAGCCTGAAGAATGAATGGAATTTTTAAAGGCAGATGAAGGAATAAGGCCATTTTGGGGGACAGTAGGCAGTGTTAGATAGGAAGGAGCATTTTAAAAATGTAGAGTTTGTTTGAGGAATAGTGAGCTTTTCAGTTTGCTTGGAGCTGAGAGTAGGTTTGAGGCAAGGCATAGAAGATAAATGGACAGTGAGGAGTTTGTGTTTCCTGGGCAGGGTAATTGAAAGCTGTTGAAAGTTTTGTAAAACTAAGTTTTATTTAACCCATTTTTGACCTAAAACATTTTGCTAATTTGTGTCTTTAGAATTTTCAGTTATAGCCCTTTCTGGGGAAGGATCGTGAGTTTGCCTTTCTTCCTCTTCTGTCTTTTATCCCACTGGAGTTCCACTGAGTTAAACAAGAGTTGAAAATGAAAGGAAAGAACATACCTTACTAAAAATCGTAGCAAAATAAAGTGCTCCATTTAGGGGATATTTAACAATATTATGCTTTAAAGTACAGCCAATTTAAAAAGAGTAGAATTTTGCCTTAGAATTTAAAAAAGAATAGGTTTAGAATTTTGCCTTAGAAAAATGGGAACAGTAAAGGGTCTTCTATAGAAATCACATCAGATACAAATTACTACTCACTGATAGCTTGAGTACTCTGGTCGGCTTAGAAAGAAATGGCTCAAAAGTCAAAACTTAGGGTTGATGTTTTATAAATCACAGTTTCTCATTTGGATGAGGACCAATAATTCATGTTCTCTGGTGATCACTACTTGAGCTGTTAGGTTTTACAGTAAGTGAAATTCTTATTTTTGAGTACAAGTAGAGTTTAAGCATTTTCAAGTTTAAATTTCTATATGTTTCACACTTGTCTGCCTAGCTAGACTGTGAGCTCACTGAGGGTAGGAGCCATATTCGTGTGTGTGTAGTCCTTGCACTAAATGTCGGGAGTTGAGTTTTGTTTTTTGTTTTTTCAGGAAACCCTTTAGGGTAGCTTATATATTAAACTTGAAACCTGGCCATGCAGATTGTCATCATAATGGAAAAGTTGTGTTTCTCAAAGTCTTTTCCTAAATATCTGTGAAGCAATAAACAAACATTTCAGTCCTATGGGAAACCCGAAGTTGACAGTCGCAAAAGAACATTTAATTGAATGACTGAAATGCTGTAGTGGCCCCAGATAAACAATTTGTAACCTGAAGTTGATCGTTGAAGTTCTGGGCTTTCTGAAATTTTAGACAAAGTGTCAGGTGCACATAACAGTGGGTTCTGAGGAGAGGCTGTGGATAGAGCTTTTCTTGTCTTTGGAAGGTGGTCTAGGACTCTCTCATGTCACCTGTCGTTCTGGGCAACATGGAAGTATCTGTCTCTTTCAGCACCATTATCCTTCTTTCTTGTTCAGATTCGGTCTCATGTAGTCTATCTCAATTTAAGCTACACACCTGCCACATTCTGGTCATGAGCTTGGAGGATTTAAAGAAAAGGCCTAGAACTGTCATAATTGTTTCGATAGATACACTTCATGCCATCTCACACTTCACACATAACTTAGCATTGTGCAGTTTAATTTGGGAAGCTTAGTGGTGGGACATGTGTTCATTGTGCCTACTTACACTTAATGTCTCTTCCTGCCCCGGGTTGCTCTGGCTACTGATAGGCTCAGGCTCCCGATAGCCCAGTATACTCAGTGCTTTGTGGCACGCTTTTCTTTTTTGTGGCAAGTTTTTCTTGACTTAGGTTGAAAATGAAAGGAAGTAAGGAAGACTGACGACCCGAGAACATGTGTAATTGCATTAAGGAGCTAGGTAGTACTGTTGGCAGAGCAGGGCAGTTGGCTCTTGAGTTTGAATCGCTGCTGTATTTTGCAATTTCTGTGACCTTAGGCAAGTCTTTAAAGTCTCAATCTCTTCATCATTAAAATGAGAATAATACTCTGTATCTCAAGATAAGATAACACCGACAAAGCAGCTAATGCTGAACCAAGTCGTAAAAGAGTTTTAAATATTTTATTCCTTCCCCTTCTTTTTATTAGTGCCATCCACATTTTCTGAAACATACACATTGACCCCTATTAAGCAACTCCTCCTGATTCTACTGGTAGATTATTAGTTTGTGGTTATTGCCATGCCCATTTGCCAAGTCATGTGAAAGTATCAGGAATTATCCAGCCTGTCTTGAGAATGGGTCCCTTAATTTGAACCAGATCAAAAGAGGTGAAGGAAGCAAAGGGATTCATTTAAATAGGATTGCCAGTGAGCAACAAAGAAAATTTCTTGTCATATCCTTATATAGTGTTCTCTATAACACTGTTCGCTTTTCAAAGAACTTTTCTGTTTTCTCATATTAACCTCACAATCAGAAACACGGTACTAAGCAAGAGAGAGGTTTTATTAGGATCTAAGATAAGTGCAGCTATTTAAGGACTATCTTTCTTAACATTGCTAGAAGTAATGCCTCATCAGAAAACCAATGGGGACCTCTACTGTAGGAAAATGTAGTGGGCCTTTTAGTACTTCTGTGATGTATTTGGAATGTTTTCTGGGGCACATCACTTGTACCTCCCTGGTTCTTGGTTAACTTCATTTATAAAATTGGAGGGTGGAGCCCATGGTATCTAAAGTCCTTTCACTTCTAAGTTCTATGGTTCTATTTTATTTTTTGTAGTTGATCCACACCTAATAGTAGCCATTTAACTAAGAAACTCTCTACATCCAGTATGCAAAGATAACTGCATCTGTGATTCAGAATAGTGAGGGTATTTTAAATTTCCTTTTGTACGTTTGTTTTCTATATTATAAGGATGAGATGTTTAACATATTGGGTTTTTCTTCTTCCATGCATGCCACATGCATTAAATAAATGGCAGTCGGCAGACCACAGGGCAGCTTGGGACTCCCAGCAGGCAAATCCCCACCATTTGAGAGCTCACCTTGCAGCAGACAGACATGGTGGCTCGGTACAGGTATTTTCTGATTTTTGCATGAGTGATTATTCCCCAAATTTATACAACTAACCCTTTTTTGGAACTCATGGCATGACTTCATATCCTAATGGAAAACTTGTTGCTGAACTCTCCATAATCCTATTCCTTTGTATTTAACCAAAAGTGAAATTAACATGGTCTAGAAAGACCACCAGGGATAGAAACTCCGATTTTACCTTTGTTCATTTTTGCAAGTTTAATCAACAGTAGTTAAGTAAGTCATATTCACAACAGGAGAGAAAAACAAACTGTATTATTTGACATACGTGTTAAGCTTGATTTTCCAATAATAATGTCAGTCTTTTTTAATGCTTTAAGTAATAGAACACTTTATCTTTTCCCTTTTGTTGGTTTTGCCTTCTTCAAACTTAAGTCAACTCAATAGATATGAAAGTTTTTCATCCTTCATATTCATAATGTACTTTCTGATTAACTGGTCAAATAAACATGACCTTAATTTTTATAAAGGTTTATTTTGCTTGTATTTATAGAAAATATCAGATGGAGGAAATAATTTCAAGGACAAGTATTTATTGAATACTTCCTTCAATTTTCTTTATAAAAATTCAAAGCAGTCTTTGTTTGTTTGTTTGTTTGTTTTGATGTGTTCATTCCCCCAACCCCTTTTCTGGATACAAGACAAGATACTTATGTCTTACTCTCTCATGCCCCCTAAATTTTCAACTTTTATGTGTATTGTAGAAAGGGAAAGGTTGCCAAGCCTTTTATTTCTTTTAAAATGCTAGCTTAAGGTAAATTAAATGCTGGTTTAAAGTAATTGAGATAATAAGTGTTATCTCAGCCTATTTCAATTTAGAACTTTCTTTAAAAGTTTTGAGTTTTTTCCTCCACGTATTTCCACTTGAATAACTTTCCATTATGTTTTAGCAATTTGCATTTTTCTTACATACAAA